GGTGAAAGAACCAAGTCGGGAACTAAGACTAGTTCTGTTGCATCCATTTCATTATGAGAGCTTTGTCCTCTCATTCCCTTGAATGTCTCTCTGTGCCACTTTTTCAAATTCTCCGGGATCTCATTGTTAGCTCTTTTCATCTCATCAAAATTTGGCATGTTGTGATCAGTAGAATTACCCCGAGGATCTAATACGGTTGTAAGATTTTTAGTACTAGATAAGCCTTCTTGGTGGCTTGAAAGCTAGTGGGGAAAAATGAGTATCGGTTGAATAGCATGAGACATCACATACTCGGAGGTTCCTCTGGTCGAGGAAATCTTCTCTTTGTGTCTTTCTTGGTTGAGCCCAACCAATTTTTCTACCATTTGGTCAACTAGGTCTTTTTGGTTTTGCAAGATACAATCCACATTGGCCTTTTGCTCATGCTCTATTTTAACCTTCCACTCTGCTTGCATTCTTCACAAATTCTCTTCTTGCTCTTTCTTCAGTTTCTCAAATTTCTTCCATTCTCAATACTTTGTGAATGTAGTTGCACAGTTAGAAGCACTTCCTCAAAGTCTTCCACGAGATAAACTCATGATTCCATGATTAATGCATTTAAAAATGCTTAAATGAATGCAATGCAAAATGTAATGATGCAAAAATGTTGATCCCAACGGTGAATAACATAGACTAATTTTTACCATAAATAAAAGATTTCACATTACAAAACATTCCATTTTACAGACACGCTTTCACTTAGATGTTGAGTCTGAATTGGATCACTAATTTGTCTCGGATCTTCTTCCTTGAAAATGATTCCCCTCAATTGTTTTGTAATCCGACTCCATTAATGCCCTGGTGGTGCTGAAGTTAATGCATCGCTCCTTGATGAATAGAGATGAAATGATCGTATGCGAAAATCTACTGCTGGATTACTCCTCAGATCAATGGATCATCGTTTTAGTCTCGAATGTTGTATGATTTTCGACCAAGTCTCCTTCTTGTACTCTGAACTTCTTTTAGCCCTCGATGCATGTCTGTGTATGTGACTACTTGATTGAAATTTTTTATCTCTTCTTGTAAAAATTTTCTCTTGAATATCACCTTGTGGATCAACACTCTTGCATTATGTTATGTTGATGCAATGCAATGCAAAAAGGTTAAAATGACACGAACAAAAGAGAAGAACTAAGTTAGTGAACGCAAACAAAAGAAAAGAAATTAGTTAGTACATGTAAGACAGTCGATAAAGATAAAAATGTTATTCAAAGATGAATATAACACCTACCCCGTCATGATATCTACCCGAACATGCTTTAATTAAATAACATTCCTACCCGGACATGCTATCTACCCAAAATGATTTTTTCAAGAAAATAATCCTAACCGTATGATATATAGTTTGCATGCTTTTATTCGAAAAGAAAAAATATATTCTACGAATCTTAAAGCAAAAAATGTAAGGGTTTAGAAATACTCCTCCTTTGTGTACACTTATTTTGGGTACCTACTGACGGACAGAGGTTCAGTATGACTATACCTAGGGTAACCGTTCTACGGCTCACTACATGCATGGTTTCGGCTCTACGAGGGTACTCGAATTATCCTTGTTGTCATTCCGCTTTGGGCTACCAAACCCTCGATCCTCACCCATTATAGGTTTCGAACGGAACGAGTTCAATTTGAGGGGATGCACTACCTTATACCCATACGAGGAATAAATCCCTACGAATGTATAAGATATGTATCCCATGGGTTATTTGCTAAAACTCATACAAAGAATAAATTCTTACGAGAGTAAAGCATTAACCCCAACTAATTTGGATCAAATCTCAGGTCTAGAGCTTATGTCATGAAATGCACGTGATGTGTGTGAGGAGGAGCATACCAACCTTTGACTAAAAAAGGGAAACAAAAAAAAAAATCGATAAAAACTTGGACATAGCTTAAAGAAAAAATTAAAATGTTAGTATGACAATTAAAAATGAAGCAATTAAAAACTTCAATAAACTTATCATAAGTCTACAACCTGACTCTCTAAAAAAAAGGTCCCCAACAGAATCGTCAAACTGTCATAACCATTGTTTTTGAAAAAATAATTAAATGTTATTTTAAAAATAATTATGACTTTAATTTTAATAAATTGGGGATTTATGAATTGATTTGGATGAAATTGGATAGGAGTCACCATCGATCTTTGGGTTAGGTAGGTTGAATACCTAAAAACGTCTTTTTAAAAAAAATTTAAGAAAAATCATTTTTTAGATTAGAAAAAAATCGGTCTACGTTTACCAAAGATTCGATTTAAAAGGTTCGAGATTCGATTATGTGTGGGGAAGGGTTAACACCTCCACAGCACCCAAAATTGGTATTGTGTAGCTTACATGTTATCGTAAATGGTGGAAAGTATGAATCGAATTTAAAATTAAAATATGATCCATTTATTAAATTGCTTCGAATTAATTATTTAAAGAAAATCTTTTAACTCGATAAGAAAATCTTGAGATTCGCAATCCTCCGTCAAGAAAGCTATCTCCATTATTTCTCATTTGTAAAATAATATTCCCTCATTGATTTGAAAACGTGAATCGAATAAATAAAAAAAATCGACGCTTACATTCACATAAAATGAAATAAATTGTTAATTAAAATACCACACATTGCATCATTAAAACAAATGAATTAGTAAAATAAACTCGATTTATTTCAAGTTACTATGTCATTAAAATTTCATACGGGTTCGCACCACTTCGACCAAGTGGTGGTTTCCACGCTCATTCTACGCATTCGTGTTCTTGAAAATAAAATCGAATAATCTCATCAACAAATAAAAATATAATGGAAATAAACTCAGTTGAAAATATACAATATAAGATATTTACATTAAATAGAGCTAACAATATTTATTTAATATAGTGCAAAATAATTACATAATATGTAAAACATACATTCAAAATGAAGGACTATAATACAAAGAATAAAACATTAAGGATTAAAATACAAACAATAAAAATAAGTTCATTCAATGATTTATTGGACCAATATAAAAATAACATAAACTTAAAGGACAATACAACCATTATGAACAAATCAGAACCACAATCAACATTTTAAACAAATATAGGTACTAAAAATGAAAATAACCCATAATAATGCTAGGACTAAAATAAACTAAACTAAAATATGTAAGGGAAAATAATGATTAAACCAAAATATAATCACATGCACATTAATGACAAAAATGACATAATTATGAATATTTAACCAAAATCCAATATTAACTAAAGTAATACAATACATCATATAGGACTTAAATACAATATCTAAAAAAGGAGTGCTCGAAACATAATAATGTAGAAATTCATTAAATGGTCCAAATGGTGAGATTACAAAACAAGAAGGACCTGGTATGTTATTATACCCAAGCCCAAATTCACGGGGAGGGTTGTGCCAAAACGGCACCATTTTGTGTGACACATATAAACTCCCAAAACGGGCTTATTTTTCATCTTTCTCTTATTTTCCACTTTTCAAAAAACAAAGAGGGAGAGAGAGTTATAAACCTCTCTCAACGTCCCCCATCAGAGAGAGTGAGCTACGACGAAACCCGCGGTGGCGCACGGCGACCAGAGCTAGCCAAAAGGACCCCAAAAGGTAGGGGTATACAAATCCGGGTACCTGGATTTTCGAGTACCCGATTACCGGGTACCCGCAACATCCTGGTCGATGATTTCTTGTCCTGTGTCCCAACTCGGATGTTGTGGGTACCGATTACCCTATTTTTTTCGTTTTCAAATTATTAATTTTAAAAAAATATACACAAATTTAAAATGTTCGAAACTTCGAATTACATACTCCAACATCCGAACATAAAATTTAAAAGTTTGAAATACAAAATCTAATAATTAATAATATAAATAATCCATTATATTATATATATATATATATATATTTATATAATAAAAAATAAAACTAACCGGGTACCCAAAAAAACTCAATTTTGTGACCCGGGTCCAACCCAGGAAATGTCAGGCCGGGTACCCGACCCGGTCGGGTATTATTTTTAGAAAATTACCCAGTTTTTAATACACGGGTCAGCGGGTCGGGTATTTTTGCATACCCCTACCAAAAGGTCTCTCTCTCTTTCCTTAACCCGAAACCCAACCCCACTTAACTTAAATCTTACCCCAAACCCCTAGATCTAGGAAAAGAGACGACTTTTTTTTACCTTCGATGAAGGGCTCTTCCAACTCCGGTGAGGTTACCCAAGGCCAGATCTACAAGGGTAAGATTTCTCTTTTCCTTTCTTTTTCTACTTTGATTTTTCAGGGTTTTTTTAAACACTCTCCCTATTTTTTTCTTCTGGCTCCCTCCCCGATTCTCCCTCTTAAAAAAATGGTTCTCAAATCTTTTCCCCTTTTATGTTGCATGCTCTTTGGTTGAAATCCACTGCCACCGAAACATAGGATATCATTATCCTACTTGTTGACAGAAATAAGATTAGACTTGTTTTTAATTTGGGTATGATATTTCTACCATCCTCACTGTTGATGTTGTTACTGTAGGTGAAGCGGCGGCGTCAGAAATCCCATCGGTGGCAGGAGCAACAGGCGGCGGTGGCAACATTAGCTACCTAGGGTTATGATGAACCCTAGGTAGAATCGGGTCGGGTCAACTGAACTGGGTCGGTTGGATCAGCTGTTGGGTCGGACCTTGGGTTCTGGTGGGCTGCTTTAATGGGTCACGGGTCTTGTAATTGGGTTGATGGGCTTGTATGTACTGGGTCGGGTCTGCTGGTTGAGGTGTGTTGGTTGTAATGGGCTTCGGTGAGGGCCTTATCTTGGTGGGCTCCAAGTTTGTTAATGGGCCTGTAAAATATGTGAATGTAATAATAATAATAATAATAATAATAATAATAATAATAATAGTAATAGTAATATTAATAATAATTTATTATTATTATTATTATATTTTTTCGAGATCCGAACAAAAACGGGTGTCTATAGCAGGCATATTCAACTGTTGGAACACTGAATTACATGGCTCCTGAAGTTCTACTAAAGAAGGGTTATGGGATGGAATGTGATTGGTGGTCCCTAGGTGCTATCATGTATGAGATGCTCATAGGCTATCCTCCATTTTGTTCCGATGATCCTCGGATAACATGCCGCAAGGTGTCACATTACCTAGTTTTTGGTTCTTAGGTATTTTTTTTATCCTCTTTTTTTTCACCTAGATGGTGTCCTGGACAGATCACCAACCGGAGAGCTTGCTTGAAATTGCCCGAGGAACCAAATATATCTGCTGAGGCTAAGGATTTAATATGTCACCTTCTCTGTGATGTTGAAACCCGTCTGGGCACCAGAGGGGTAGAAGAATTGAAGGTTTAAAGTGGTACCTTTATGTTTTTTGTACTTGTTTTTGTTGTTTTATACCTTTGAACCAAATATTCATGACAAGTAAACATATTTCTCTGGTCTGAAGATTGCATCTTGATCTTAATTTTGTACATTGGCAAATTAGTTGCACCATCTGCAATATTTTAGTATTAGATTGTTTACTTTCTCAGTTTGAGCTTGTTGGAATTTTGTTCAATTATAACTTTGAAGTCTTGAAGTTTATCAGGCACATCCATGGTTCAAAGGTGTTAGGTGGGAAAAGCTGTATGAGATTGAAGCTGCAGATCAGCCAACAGTCAATGGAGACTTGGATACTCAAAATTTTGAGAAGTTCCCAGAAGTGAGTACTTTAAAAGCTAATGTATCAGAGTTATACCCTTAATGGGTTGATAAAGTGTTTACAGTTCTGAAGACTAGTGATATCCTTCCTACTTTGAACGCTGAAGCACTTTTAACTTAATGTCTCTTCCCCAATGGGATGTTAAGAGTTTCCGTAAATTGATACCTTTCTTCATTGTATTTTAATTAACATGTGGTATACGGTTTCTGGTTAGCTTTGCTTGTTGCATCTTTTAGTTTTTGTTTTTCTGATTTGGAAATATTTTAGCATCCTCAACTTTAAATTGTTTTTTTTCTTCCAAAGATTCTTTAAATGAAAGTTTGAAATTCTCCGTCTCTTTTTTTTTTCCTTTCAGTGAAACTAATTTTACTATATCTTTGCTTCTTGGTAGATTGACGGCCCTCCCTCCTCAATACCAGAAGTGGGACCTTGGAGGAAGGTAATGGCCTTTTTTGCTCCAATTTTCTTTTTCTTTCTAGTAAGCTTTATAGTACAATATTATACTAGGTTGATTTTGAAACGTTTTGATGTGTTTTTGTTCATTTGATGGTGCAGATGTTGGCATCAAAAGATAACAATTTCATAGGATTTACATTTAATAAATCAGACATTGTTCAGTCACTTGAAAGTTCAGGTATACTTTATATGCTTTGGTGCATTTTTTTAGCTAGAAGTTCTAGCGCTGTATTACAGCAATATGTCGTAATTTAATTTTCCCCAAAACTGATGTTTGTATAATATCTAGAATAGTTGTTTAGCATACGACAACGTAGAAGGCTGAATTACCCCCCGCTCTTCTCTTCTTGTCACATTCTTCCCGTAGCTGATTTCACTTTATGAATTGTTGGACAGTCAAATATGCGACATTTTCTTTGCTTAAAAGATAACGCTTTTAAAAGTGAAAAACAAAAAAGGAGTCTTTTTCCCATTTCTACGAACTTTATCTGTAAGTGTTCAAGTCGTCTCCATCTTAAACTTGTCCATATCAAGAACATTATTGTATATTTGCAAAAACCGGAAATGTGAGTTTTGTTTGATAATGAATTCTTTCTACTATAACAATTTACAGGTCGAATCGATCTTCAAGAAACGGTAACGCCGGAGGACGAGCAGGAGCAAGAAACTCGAATCCGTTGTTGACATCTGCGAGCATTGTTTCATCTCAGATACACATTCTGCAATTGGAGACAGTAACAAGGTCAACTTCAAATATTTCATATCGTCTTTGACCACTATATCCTTGTTTTCGTATCTCCAAAAATCGTTGTCGTGAAAGCTACTGTAAAGCCCAAAATACGTTCAAACCATTTTGACTGTAATTTTACCACAAGTTCATATGCGATTTCATGTGGTTGTGTTTCTGCTCGTTGGAGTTTTGTAGTGTGGGCGGCTTGAGCTTGGCTTACGTAACTTGAATAAATATCTTTGTTTGGTGTGGAGAAATCGGATATCGCAAACTGTATTAATATTTTATTGGTCTGAACTCAGATATTTACTAGAGCTTTTATCTGTACGAATCTCTCACTGTCCCGAGAAATTATTTTATGGTCTTCACTTACAACGTTTTCTATCAGTGAATGGGAGTTATATAATTTAAAATAATTTTTAAATAATTATCTACTTTTTATATATATATAATAAAGTGATAAAAATTTATATTAAAAAAATGAAATAAAAAATTATTATTGATTAAGATAATAGATGACATGATGAACCGGGATTAACTAATAATTTTTTCTTTTAAAAAGCTTTTGATATACTAATTTAAAAATAATTGATAAAAATAATTAACAATGCACAAATATTTACGGAGATATAAATACCAGTGTCAGAGAGTGGAACAGAATGATTTGTAATTATTATTATTCTTTTGCGTGTGTGAATCTGTAATTATTGAAATTATGATAACAAACATAAAATAATCAGATATATGATAAAATTTCCCTAACAGCAATTTTGCTTATTTTTGTTAATATAAAAGAAGAAATTAAATATAAATATTTTTAAATCTTTGAATAAGAAGATATTTGAGTAATATAAAATTATTAAAAAATCATTAAATATAAAATTAAAAATATAAAATTTAATATTATAAGTAAAAATAAATTTGAAAAGATCATATTTATAAAATATTTCATAAAATTGGATTTAAATTAATCGATTAACCAATTAAGTATTGATTATTATATAAAAATATATATAAAATGATAGACACGAATTCAGTAAAAAGTTATACCCACATTTTTTAGCTGAATGATTTGCTTTTTCTTACATATAATGCGCTCTTTCACATTAGAAAAATTAAATATACTTTAGAATGGAAAGACGATCGTAATCTTATCCCCAAGTTTGAAGAAAAAGAAATAAATAAGATTAGATATTTTGAAGAGCCAATAAATATCTGGCTGCTGTATTCGCCAACCCCTAAGAAATGACGTGGCAAAGTGAAGGTCCCATGACACGTGTAAAAGCGATGACAACTGTAACGTTCTTTTGTCCCCTCCTCGTATCATCTCATCTCCCATTTTTGTTTCTCTTGTTCTCCTTTCTCCACTCTCAAATATTTCTGTTCTTTAAAAAACAAGCAAACTTTGTTCCTTATTCTAATCTTTTCAACACGGGATTTTTCTCTTGCATGGAGGGTTTTAGGAGAATTGAATCTCGCGCGAGTTCAGAGGCTTCTGCCTCTGAGTTGACTCCTCATAGATCACCCGAGTTTGCTCCCCATGGACAAAATCCAAGCCTGGTACACCCTCTTCTTCTTCTTCTTCTTCTTCTTCTAGATCTTTTATGATTATTGATTTATGCATCAACGAATTTGAGTCCTGGGTTTCATTTTTTCCCCTTGTTTGAAGGAAGTAAATTCGAGTGACATGGGTTTAGCATTTAAATCAGCTAAATTTTCGAACTTCAGTTTAAAACATTTAATAGTTAGTAATTAGACTCTTTACACGGTAAATTGTCATAATTTTCAATTATGCATATCCTTTTGATTTTCATTAAAAGCGTTTCTGTTGAGCATTAGAACTAGAGTTTTAAGATGGAAAAAAGGAAGGATTTATCGTTAGGCGTTTCTAACTTACAAGTAGCTTTGATTGTTAGGTACTATTAATCGAGAATTTGTAACTTGGAAGCCTGGAAAATTGATTATCCCTTTTACTTCTTCTAGATGTTAAGCTACCTCACATTTTTCATGGTATTGATGCTGTAGATGTAGTTGGCTCCAATGGGGTCTCCTTAATTATATGTTTTCCTTTCTTAATTTGGATTGTTTATTTCTTCTTTCTAATCTGTTTTCTTATAAAATTATTTGTTTAGTTTGGGAGAACTTACTAATCATGTCTGTTAATGATAACACTACAGGATTCTCTGATGACAGAATCTACCTCTACAGAATGGACAGATGAGAAGCACAGTTTATACCTTAAATCCATGGAAGCATCATTTGTTAATCAGTTATATGATTCTATGAGTTCTCTTGGCTGGAACTCAAAGGAAAAATTGCCAGGATCAAAATCATCAAGGAAAACACATTGCATCTCTCCAGGCCAGGTTAAAGTTTGATCTCTGCTTCTTGATAATGATGGAGCTGCCTCTCTTTTTCCTGTGTCAAATCTTATTTACTGCATGTTCCAATCTTCGTTGCAGTTTAAGGTTCTTCGAGGTGGTTGCTGGAAGAAGATCAATTTCGAAAGTCCTGGATTTCAACTAAATAAAAGAGATAGCTCTCGCTCATTTGTGGCAAGTCCATGGATCCAGCACTTCAGATCTAGGCCTACATCTTGTGGTGTTTTAGCCTCTTGTAGTCTTCAAGATAATGCTTCATTCAAAGGTGATAAAACAAACAATGTTCATTTGTAAGAAGCAATTTCTGTTCAGCAGCTTCTGAAACGCTTTCTTGCATATGGCAGTAAAACAGTTCCCTGCAGTGATATTTTGGTGTGTTCATATTGTTGTTATCTAAAATTTGTGTTTAGGTGCCTGAGGGGTACCTGATTTAGTTCATCCAATCTTAGGCTTGCTTGATTATTAGACTTTTAAGGTTGATTTGTCTATGTTTCTCTTGAAGTGATATCCCTTCTGATTCCACCTATCATAGAATCATGATTTCGTTCTATTATATGTTTGGGGTGTAACAAAATATATTTATTCAAGATTATTAGATGTAAATCATATTGTATGAGTAGTATCCTTCTCTATACAGTTCAAAGCGTTGAAGCTTACAATTTGAGTGAGTTCAATTCAATTAGTCCTCATATTCTAATGGTGGCTCGTAATCATGTGCATGCTGTTAAATTCTATCAACTTTGGCTGGGATATTTGGTCTGTATGTGAGAACGAGTTCAGAGCGTTGAAGCTTACAATCTGAGCTTGAGTTCAATTCAATTAGTTCTCGGGTTTCTTTACATTTTCAAAAAATATCTAGTCAGCTCGTTGACATATGGTTTTTCATTGTTGTTATGCCCAAGGAGGCATACATTTATTTGTTTTTAGTACAATGTCTGCCAATGAATTTTCTATGTTGCAAAAGAGATGCTTAAAGTGATATCTTTCAGTTGTCATTTGTCAAATAATTGAACTCTAAAAGATTGGTTGGTTTGTTGCAGAGGTGTCGGATCAGAACTTCATAGGCGAGAAACTTGCTGAAAGAACTAGCAGTGAATGCAGCCCGAAGAAGCTGAAAACTTTGGTAACTGATGCTTCATGCAATGAACAGGTAAAAATGATTAGCATGGATCTTTTACTTATAATACCTAAGACTCTAAAACAATAGGTATAAATCACTTATCTTAATCCTAAACATCTAGCATTTTCTCATTTGTGTTATTAGGTTGTTCCATGAGGTGAAGAGTCGAACAGCTGTGATAAATAAAAAGTGGGCATCCACCAAAGCAAGTGATTTGTGTGATCGCATCCTGATACAGTGAGCAAACTGATTACATAGACATTCATCTTGGTGACTTAAATTTTGAATTCCGAACGTTTTTTCGTTACATGCATATATGTGTGGGACACCGATGGAGCCGAAATGATCGGGGTAGTTAGTTCAGGGCTTTTCTTACTGTAAATATAACAAGATTGTGGTTAGTATTTTAGTAAATTTTGGTGGAGGATGTTCATTGTTGGTTTGCTGATGGTTCTTTTCTATCTATCTATATATGTAAATATTATTCTATCATATCGTGCAGTTTTGAGTTTCGAATGTGATAAGTAGTTGTTCCAGTTTAACAATGACTTGTGGCTAAGGATATAATAGCTAAAAAGGTAGAGCAAAGCATAAAATGATGCACTGAACAGAATTGGTTGGCTTGGAACTGGGGGTTGATTTTCAAGTGATTTTTCTTGATGCAATTTTAGCTTCTTGGCAAAAGCAAACTTGGAATTTGCTTTATGGTTTGGGCTAACTGTTGATCTTCTGTCCATGGGCTTTTTGTGTAATCCTAGGTTCTTGGACAAAAAACAAGTCTTCTGCATTACCAACAAATGAATGGAATACTTGTATGCTTTCTATCTTCGACTGTTTTAGGAACGCAGAGAATACTGTTTTAGAATGCTTACATGTTTATAAAAATGGTTGGGAAATAAAACGAGAACGAGTAATTTTCCTATAACCAGATTAGTGAGAATGCGAAATAAAAGCGGAAAAATAATACCCGAAATTGATAATGGAGTTCAGCCAATTTTGCCTACGTCTCCGGACTGCTGCAGATCTTTTACTAAAAAGAAAATTTACAGGTGTTTACAAAACACATTTGAGAGAGAACTAGAAGATTTTGGGATGATATTGAAGCTAAATGAGCTAGGGTATTTATAGTTGAAGCTTAGGGACTAATTCTGTAATTACCCTAAAATACAATGACTGAATGTATGTTTTATCCATTTCCATTTTCAAACAATTAGGCAACCCACCTTTGAATTGTGCGTTTGGTGGTGCCAAACATTTGTTGAAAAATGCTTAGGCGGTGCCCCCCATTTCATCACCTTTTGACTTTATAATCTCCCACTTGAAGACTGATTTTAATCTGTCTTCACACCTCGATTGATGCAGCAGCATTTCTGGTCTTGTTACTATAGCATGCCAACTGAAGTTGAATACAACTTCAGTTTGTTCGTGGTCACCGTCTTTGTCAACATGTCTGTCGGATTTTGAGC